CAGACTTCAAACCACACCACAGAACTACTAGTTAGTTACCTTCTCATGTAACCTCCCGTGACCCCCATGGCTTTCCTTGAAGGCATGGCCACCTCAGCTCAGTGCCACCAAAACATGCTGACATTATGGATGGAGAGTAATGAAAAATAGTATAGCTACATTGGAGGAGCTGGGTAGGGTATTTTTCTCATCAACAGTCTACTATCAGTAAACACAGTTCGATTGGAACCAAAGCACTAAGCAAAACTTCAGGGGAAAAAAATGTCTAACACTGCTGGAAGCAGGGGGGGGGAGGTGTGGTGTTTTCAATGAGTCATTTTTTGTTTTATCCAAATCAGCTCTTGAAGGTTCTCATGAAAAACAAAAGACTACTGTTTGTCTACAAGAAAATTTGCAGTGATTCAATGTAAAATTTCTTTTAATTAGAGAATTCTAAAAATCCTAGGGTTTTTGAGATTTAGATTTTTAAAAAAAATCTCAATGTGGAATCCTTTATTAAAATAATTTTTGGTACCTATCAAAACTTTAATACTAAATATTAGAAAATAAAATTGTTTTCTTTGGAATGCACTTCAGAAAAATAATCTCAATAGCAAGAAGGGGGAGGAAGAATTGTAATAGGTTTTTTCCCCAAGGCATAAGGACTTGCTAGGACTTAACAAATAAGACTGAAAGCCATTTAAAAAAAGGGAATGGATCAGGTATGAACTGATAAAACTTCCCACTTCTTTGACCTTGTAAACTTCACACCATAATGCATGATTTTCAGGAAGTTTTCCTAGAAGTAGTACATCCTCTTACTTCCTTAACTGGCTTAAACCTAGTTTTTCACTTTAATTACTGTTCATTTATTGAATGGAAAGCATGCATTTTTAATTATGTTAGTTGAAATGTTGGCTGGTTTTGAAACCAAGTACTTGGAATTGGTCCATTTGAGCCACGTGAATCAGCAGTACTGTTTTATAGGTTTTGCATTTTTTTTCACTTCAGCGTTTCAAACGGTGATCCTTGCGCAGAAGAAAAGCTGGTAGAGAAAGATAAAAGGCTCCACCTAGTGGGCAAGAACTGTTTATTTAAAGGAAAAAAAAAAAAAGCAAGATTTTCACTTAGTTTTATGCATGAGGAAATACTGCTTTAGATTTTGTTTCATTAAGCTGCCATGTTGTTCTTAATTCTTGCCTTCTACAGAGCCATTATTTCATATGCAAAGCTGAAACATTAAGAATGATTCTGACAGTTTTGAGCAAGAAGCAATAAATGATACTAAATGAGTGGGTTTATATAGAAGAGCTGAGCCACAAAGTTCTTCCTCCTCTCTTCAAGCTTCAATATATAGTAACAAAAAATGGATAATTTGTGTGTCAACAAATATTTTAAACTATTTAAGGTTCTTTCCTAATTAAAACTGACTGGAAAAACTTGACCGTAACACTTAACAGAGTATTTTGGGAGTATTTTTACACAGAGAGAGAACTCTGCCCATGTGTTACCTCATCTTCCTTAAATGATCTGTTTACCTGCAAAAGGTGAAATCTGGGTTCTCTGGCAACTTAGTCCAGTGCATCAGCTTCTGGCAAGGCATAACCCCATCAGCCCCTGCTGTCTCTTCCAAAAGCAAACACCAAAACTTGTGTCTCCTGGCATTTGCCCAGGAGCCTGCCTAGCGCTGTTGTGCATCCAAAATCATCCTGGTAGAATCTAGCACCTTTATTTTAGGTACATAATTGATCTAGTACAGTACCTCTTTTTTTTTTTTTTTCTCCCCCTCCAACCCAAGATCTGAAAAAGAAACCCACACAAAATTGATTTAGTCCATGCCCCCTTTTTTTTTTTTTTCCTTCCCCCCCCCCCCGCCCTTCCTCCTTGCTGAACTTAGGCACTGCATTGCAGTTCTGCTCTAAACTCCTGAGAGATTCAAATGGCAGGACTCTTCAGATTAAAGCAGCAGTGAAACTCAGGTGTTACTCTCTTATTCCAGCCAAATACAGCTAACAGCTGAAACCTTCTCCTCAGTTCATTTCAGGCTAATAACAAGAGTGGGAGCAGGAAAAAGTAGCAGCAAGCACAGATGTGGCAGAAGAGACACTGAACCACATTGTGTGTCCTGCCTTTTGTCAGACTAGCCTGTCTCTCATTTTCAAGCCATGCAGCCTGGCAAGATCAGTTCCTCCTGTGCAGCTTCCAGCAATGGGTAGACAGTGTAACATGCATTGTAATAATACATTACTACACCTAAGTTTAGCCCATGTTCACATCCACAACTGGAATATTTGTCTCCTGTGCAAATCACAAAATAGAGCTTAATATGTTGTTTTGCACACCTCTTGATCACAGATCTCCATTTGCAGTGGGCTGAGGATAGCAAATCCAGAGGATTCCTCTTTCAGTATTCAGGCACAACAGGCCTGTGTGACAGGCCACGCAGACTGCCTGAACAGCCTTCCCCAGCTGCAGCCCTCCTTCTGTCCTTTATGGAAATGTAACTCCCTGGCACCAATGGTTTGTTTTACAGACTAAAACAAAGGATAGTCTTAGCGTTCCTACTCTGAACCTTTATACGAGCAAGGACTAATACAGAATTGACTAGTCTTAGAGTGCCTTTGGGGCAGTTCATATGTTTGCAAAATGCAAGCAGTGCTATCTCCAAAAGGGAGGAAATGGAAGATAAATGTTAAATTGCTTTTTTTTTTTTTGTTTGGGGCGCAGCTTTTATCATTGGTCTCAGCTTCTAGGAAGCCTCTGTCACCCTTAAAACATGCCAGCTAAAACAATACAGACCAGTTGTTTAGAACTTCATGGATATTTCAAAATGTTCATTACAACTGCACTGTTAGCTGTTAAACTCTCCTAAAATTGGCATTAGCTGTTTGTTTGCGTAAAGCCACTTGGTTTCTAATGCACCTGGACACCTCCCTCACTAGACATGCAATAGAAGATGCAAGTCACTTACTTCAAAGCAGTTGTTGTTAAATAATACCACTTTTAACTGCTGGTCTTTGCTCTAGAACTGCTCGCATTTTAAGAGATTATAGGCTTGCTGCTGAGCTAAAGCAAATCCTGTGTTTGGAACTACAGCAAGATCCTCTGCCTCATTTTACTTTAAATACCTTGTCTAGCACTGGTACTTGAGCTGATGCTAATGAAATACAAATCTCCAGATGTGAAACTCTGGGGAACAGTTGACAATCTGCTTTTGTAATAATCTGCTGTAAACTCAAAATGCTAATTTGGGGATTAAGTATTAATTTATTCCCTCCAGAGGTCATCGGATAGTCTCATACGAGTCTTCTAGTTAATATTTAACATAGCTATTTTAGATGTTGTTTAGCTGGGTTACATGATTTTTATCAGCTGTTTTTTCCTTCTTTGTGGGAGCAGCAGTCTTTACAATAAATGCACATCAAGGCATTTGTTTCAAGAGTACCACTAAGTCTCTTATTTTTCATAGCTAACCAGGTGCTGAAGTTTGGAACACTCGTCAGTACTTCCAACACCTATGACAACTCTGGGATCGTAACCATTGAGACGGACAAGCCTTTGTTATGGACAATGTCTATCAAAAGATAAGATCGGCTACAGCTGCCTTTTCTGATCTGACTCAACCCAAATTACTGCAAAATTTCACTGAATTAAGATAATAAAGCTGTTGCAAAAGATATAAGCAAGCACTGATTTTATGTACTGAATGGAAAACAAGTCTGAAATAAAAGTCACTTGAGATCAAATCAAGATTAGCAGCAATAACTGAGTATTTCATTCTGGTACCTCACTCAATCAGAAGACACATGAGCTGCCACCCAATACAATCATAAACAGAAGGGAATGTAAAGAAACTGCTACTGCTTTTCTGGTTAGTTCAGACTATTTTTACAAAGTATTTTATTCCGATACAGAACTTTTTTTTCCCCTTTTGCCACAAGGAAATAGAGTACACAGTTGCACATAGTATATCTTAAAAGGTGGTAGCACTAAGAGTAGTCAATCTCATTTTTCTGTCCTGGTTTGTAACATATGTAGGTGCTGGTGAAGATTTCTCACAAAGAGTAATAATTGAACTTCTCTACTTCTGAAACAAGTTTGTCTACTGAAGAAGCTTCAGTTTTGCTGTAACACCAGTATCAGATTTCCCAGTACTAAGTGCTTTCAAAGTCTGTAATAGAAGCAGCATTGTAACTTCTGCAAATACCAAATGCAAATACCAACAAACTTTTTGGAGTGAAAAATAAATTTCTCAGTCTCAGTCTGAGGAAGAACATTGCATCTACCAGAGTTTTTGCAGGCTTAGTTTTTAAAATCAAAATATTCAATCATTTAATAATGGAAAATTCAGGTCAACAAATGCAGAGCCCTTTATAAAAATTCTGTGTGCATTTGCGTTACAGAACCCGTATCCAAAACAGGGGTATGCCCTATCCAACAGTGTGAGCAAGTTGTTGATTTGCTGAAGGACTGATTAGTACCTCTGACAACTAAATTAACCTCAAACTGTACATCTTAGTAACCAACTAAGTTTGGCTTTCGTAATTGTGCCACCAGAATAAGGATTGGCAATGCAAGTTCTTTATTTGATGTAGGTTTTTTTTCCAGTGAAGTACATAATATAACCTAACAGGATTTCCAAATGCAGAAAGGAATTCGGGATAATGATGGTGATTCCAGAAATTAGTGACAAGAATGCCAGGCACTAGACTTTTAAATCACCACTTGAGAGGATACAGTAACGCTGGTTTTTTGCTGTCTGCTTTTGCTGGAACAATGCTGTTCACTAAGCAGTAAATTAATCATTGGAACAGCTTCTGAAGAGAGGCTGTACAGTTGTCACCCTTGGAGGTTTTCAATACCCGACTGGACAAAGCCTTGAACAACCTCGTCAGAATGCAACACCTACGGAGCTTTGAGCGGGAGGTTGGACTAGAGACCTCCCAAGATTCCTTCCCACCTGAATGATTCTATTACTGTTGAAAGAAGTAACAAAACAAAAAAACCCACTCTACTACAACTTTAAAAAAAAAAAAAAAGCCTGTAATGTAGACAAGTATGATTGCATACACTTTAAAAGAAGAGTAAGATGACAAGAATGTTTGAAAACCCAAACTGAGGTTGTTTAATAGCAAACAAGTTAAAGCTGTGAAATCTTTGCAGCAAGTGTCACAATGTCTTGTTCTTCATGATGAATACTCAGCCGCCTCTGTTGAGAGAGCAAAGTAATCAGTTTCAACTAATCAAGTGATCCCATCTGAAGTCTAATTTATCCTCCCACCATTGCCTTGTTAGGACAAATATTACTACTGTTACAGCTTATCTCCTATTTTCAAACATTTCTCCTTGCCTACAGGACCACTCTTACAGGTATAAGCAAGCCACGTGTCACGGTCACAGAATAGTATTTAACCTGTTCCAGTGCTAGAAAAGGAATTACATCAGCTCTGGAGAATCTGAGGAGTTTTAATTGGTAGTGTTCGTATGTCAGTACCACAACTACCAGTCAACTTAAGGATCACGTTTTTCATGCTGCAACGTTCAGTCTAAAAGGAATTTTACAGAATGCAGTTATACGTTAACCAGTTTCAAACATATCTAGCACCCAGAAAATTAAACAAGACCACCTTTGTTCTGTGCCCTGTCATCTTCCAGCACAATCACAGTTTTTTCTACCTTACCGTCCATGCATTTACGTTGGATAACCAAATTATAAACTGGAAACAGTAAGAGTATGTAAGAGCCAAGTAAGGTAAATGTTCTATGGTCAAACACACACTGAGGAACTGGAAATCAAAATATTTGACATTCAGTTTTGAATCAGAATATTCAAATCTGAAAAACTACATATCTAATGTTTTGCAGCATGCTAAATTAACAACCTACTTGATTCAAAGGACGTTATCAGGAATACCTGTCATATGACACCAACATGTGAAACACACAGATACTAAAGCAACACATATCCTGTAGGGCTCACTAACATCCTCTGTTTAAAACTGAACAGGTAACAATGAACATAAAATTTAGTGAGACTGAAGGTCATATTTACTTACACAATGATATTGTTGATTGGGATATGGATCAATTTGACAAAGAAACCAATAAATCCCATTATCGCAAAGCCTATTGCTGTTGCCATGGCAATCTTCTGGAACTCTGCAAAAACAAATAAACATTAGTCTAGGAAGCCTCGTGTATGGCATACAGGAGACAGGCACTACAGTGACCAAAGGAGAGATCTCTCTTTAGAAAACGGTAATGCTAGCACAGGAAGCAGTTCAGAAACAAACTGCACTGACACTGAGAAACAAATCCACTTTTTCAGAAGACAGATGAGAGTCTAAGAGAGAAGATGCTGCTTTCCACAAAACATAAGCCAATCTCAATTTTTTTAAAATAATAAGCAGAACAAGAAAAGCCCACAGTCCATAACAATTCATGGAACATTTATTCCATTATCTTTCCTTCATATCCCTACAAGCCCTGAAAATAGTCCCCAATACAGTATCAAAAATGGAAAAAGCTGCATTTATGTCTGTCACAGGAAGACAGCATGTGTAGTCCCTGCAAAAATCAAGTATTTAAGTGATATTCTCAATTCTTTTAAGCCAGCAACCATGAAGTGGACTAAGAAGGTCAGCAGCCCCTCACAACCCTGCCAGTCTGACAATGAACAAAGTTCCTTACTGAACTCAAAAGATGTCAGTAAACTTCACCCTGAGCACGTGAATAAAGCATCATAACTACTACCATTAAGGACAACCAGTTGCATTCTGGTCCTAGTTATAACTTCTCTCTAATAGCTTTGGGAAAATCCACAAACCTGCTCTTCTGTACTTCCAGCAACAAAGTTCTTCCTGTCCCAATCAGGCAGTCACTGACAACTGGGAAGTACTGAAAGGGCATTGCAAAAACCATCCCTAGCGCAAGTCTCCTAAAATGAAGTCTTTCCTCCAAGATCATGTAACAAGCAGTTTCCTCCAGAATTTCCCCCAAGTTGACTGCAGTCAGTCAAACTTGACTGCTGCATTTATCTTTTCAAAATGTATGCAAGTTCTTCTCAGATCAGTTTACCTAATACATGAAAAATACTACTTGCCTGTCTCAAAATGGCTGATTTCAGCTACTTAGCCTATTTCATAAGGTGAGTTTTAGTACTACTCAGACACCTACATACGTACCAGAAAAGAACGCATTCAAGTTTATTATATCCAGAACCACAAACCCATTAACATTTGGACAACTACTCAGGTTTAAATCTCATATTGGAAACTGAGAAACATTCACAACAAATGAATCAACAGAAGTGTCGTATGGAAAGGTACATGGTAAGATATAAGACAAAATAAGGACTGTGTTGTGATTTATTGTGTGCTTTACCTTTCCTGTCAGGCTTGGTGCATCTTTTAACAAGTCTTATGGAGTCTTTTACAAACTGACGGCTGGGTTCCACAAATTGCATTACCTGATCCATGATTACCTGCAAAGATGAATGGGTATAGTATTGGTGCCACATATACTGAAAGACAGAAATTTTTAGTTACAGAAGGAGCAGTTACCTACAAAATTTGTAAAGACTTAAGATAGCTTAAAATGCCATATTGCAACCTAACTGGACTTTAAAAGATACTTCCACTTTACAGAAAATAAAGACACTGTATCAGTGCATAAACATGAGGTCCTATCACTGCCTGCAAAAACTATGAAAAATTATGCCTTTCAGTATAGGAGAACAACAGCTCCATCACAGTTTGCTTTCAGCTTATATCCTATGCTGTGTTTCTGAGAACACTACTGAATGCACCAAAACAGACAAAAGTCACCCATTTCAAGACATCCCCAAGCTAAAAGCTGCTGGAGGGCTGGTGAGCACCGAGGCAATCACCACGGCCTAATCTCAAGCATCTGCCAGCGCTGCCACCCCACGCAGAACACAAGGCTAGAGGGATCTGCCGTCATTAATCAGTACGCGGCCTCCGATACGAGGGTCCCCATATCAGACCCTCTCACGCCTTCCTGCGACTCCCCTCCTTGTCACCGCGGCCGAGGCCGGGCTCCCTGCCCCCACTCCCCCACCCCGCCTCGGGACGCGCAGCAC